TAACGCAATACATTCACTTCTGATGTCTGACGTGGGAGGTACTCATGATGTGCCCCTGGTTGTGTCCTGAAGCTAAGCCTATTTTTTTTGTCCTCGGGGTGCTTTCCTATGAGGAAGGGCCTAGGAAAGCATCCAAGGAGGGCCCTTCAAAATTTCACCTGGCTCGTCTTGCCTGGTACATGATGAATTAGCATGTTCCAGGCTCCATGCAGCCTGCTCCTCCAGCCCATGCCTCAGCTCACCAGATTGTATTTTTTGCTCTCACCGTCCTGTAGAAATCAGGGTTGCTGTGTCTCCAGGGACCTCCTCATTCTTTTTGTTTCTTCTCATTGATCACCTCCTGAAAGTAGTCACCTGGCGGCTCCCAGCCTCCTCTGTTCGTTTCCCGGCCCTTCTCCCTCTGCTGTCCCCCAGGTGTGCGGGTTCCCCTGGGCTCCGTTCCCCAGCCCCTTCTCCGCTCCCTCCACCAGTCATTCTCCACACCTATAACCTCACTCCTCAGGTTTGAAAAAACTCAGTCACTTTCCCTTCCCTGCTCTGGAAGCCCGAGTTTCGGGACCCAGAGTGCCATCTAAGCCGTCAGGACGATCTGTGTTACTCAAAGTATCGTAATGAAGAATAATACATAGAGTGAAAGTAAAACTCTTATTTCACTAATCATAACTTACTAGATAATAAAAAAAGAGACTTCTGTGCCCCAAGTCTCTGAAGAAGATAGAGGTAACTCCCTTCTTTGGGTCACAGGAGCAGCGGCGGTTCCTAGCAGCCCCTCTCTGGGATGCCCTCTTTCCTAGCAGCGTGTATCCATCGCCTGCTTGTAGCTTTGACTTAAACCTTCTAACAGGGTTGGGGGGGAAATGGCTCAGTGGTGGAGCATGTGCTTACTGGTGTGCACAAGGTCCTGGCTTCAATCCCCAGCATCTCCATTAAAATAAATAATTTAAGCTATTAATTATTATTAATAAATAAACAATTTAATTATTTTAAATAAATAAACAATAAATAAAACCCCAATTACCTCCACCATCCCCCCAAAGAAACAAAACTAAAAAAAAAAACAAACAACTTTCCACTCAAATTTCTACTTCATGAACAGTTTTTTTCTCTTGTTCCTGTTTCATCTCTAACTCCTCTTGTACCATTTGTACCACACTGATTAGTGTAACACAAGTAGTATGTTTTATGTGTTCAAGACTGTAAGGCACCTAAAGGTTCCCACCTCCCCCTCTCTCCTCCCTCTCCCTCATTTTTTATCCTTCTGTCCTTTGCAACCTTGGACCAACACCTAGGCTACAAATCGTGCCTGCCAGTAGGTGCCAGTCACTAGATTAAATAAGGTAACAGTAGTTTACCTGTTTAGGTAAATGGAAGTAAATTTACCTGAAAATCCAGTTTAGATATATACTACCAAATGTATTCCTTTAATACATATGTTTTAATTTTTAAATTTTTCTCATTTTCTAAGATGGACTTCTATTCTGGAAAACTCATTGTTGGAATATATGATGTGTGTATATATATGATGTATGTATGGAATTGTTATTGTTCAAGTTCCAAACAGTTTCCTATTTATGCCTTGCACCTCTCCCCCAGCTGCTTCTAGAAGTGTCGTGGGGGTCCCATCACCTGCCCACCAGGATGGTGAGGAAAAGATCACATGATTTACGGGACCTCGGAATTAAGAAAAGCAAGTCCTTCAAGTGGTCAGACTTAACCAATCACCTTTTTTCCCCCCAAGAGGGATGGCGATCTAAATTTTGGCCAAATCCTTGCTGTGCTCAGAGTAGATATTCTATAAATTTAGGATTTTACCTTACACAATAAGATGTATCATGTTTCATTATATTTTTGTGTGTTTTTTTAAATCCCAACACTGCTGGAACTATTTTTAACTCATTCTTAGACAGACCTGATTGGTTTTAGTCATGTATATTGGAGACACAGTTGAACTGAAATAATTTTGAGTCTGTCCTGCTACAGTTTTCTAGGATTCATAATTTTCCCTTTATTTATTTATTTTTAACTGAAATATAGTCAGCGTACAATGCTGTGTCAGTTTCTGGTGTCCAGCATCATATTTCAGTCATACATGTACATACATATATTCGTTTTCATATTCTTTTTCACTATAAGTTACTATAAGATACTGGCTTTATTCTTTTAAAGTAGAGATAGACTATTTCTGGATATATGCCGAACTATCTTATTTTGTATAAAACATAGTTCTTAAATACTATGCACAGAATTCCATGCATAAATCAACTCTAGAGAAATCAGTTCAGGTATTGTTTCTTGTGGTATCCTATTAAATAAGCTGTGACACAATTGCAACGTTTACTTTCCAACATACAACACATCATAAAGGGCTTCCAGTTTTTATTTTCCTAAATGTTGTGTACTTGATGTCATTTCTTTATCTAGCTTATTATGAAAAGAAAAAGAAAGTGACGGCAAATGATTACTGCTGGTGAAAATATTCGGTATTTAGTACTTTTGCACAATGCTCTCAATTAGAGCACTGTATCATTTCTTAATGTTGAGATCATTGTGTACTCACATTTTGTAAAGACATTAATTTCACATTTTCCCAATTAAATACAAACACAGCCTCTGACTTTATTCTTAGCTCTGGAAGGCCACGGGGACTTGCTTATCATAGTTCTGCACAAATGGCCTTGCCCAGGTCTGTAAACATCCAGGAGATATTTGTTGAATGCTTGGAGAAAGGCAGAATCTGGACTCCTGCTGCCTAAATTAGTACTATGTGTTTTGTTTGTTTGTTTGGTTTTTAATCTTATTGTTCCCATCACTGAGGATTTAACTTCTTTGAATCACTTGTACCATTCTTGCCTTCCCTCCTGCAGAGGAAGCCGGTCCTAAACTTAATCCATTTACAGGATTCTCTGCTTTTAGCGAACAAACTTGCCCACATCTCTCCCACCTTCAAAAACAACAAAACTGGTGACCTGAATGGCTTCCTCCCCCTCTGCCTCTCCCTTCACCCTCCGCTCATTGCCAAGCCTCTCGGAAGGGGAGGGGCAGCCTCCCTCTCTCAGCTCACTGCCAGTTCACCCCTCATTTCACTCCGTCATCTGGGGTCGCGGCTCCACTCTGGACCTGGGGATTCCAGCCTCAGCATTGTCTCTCCCCTGCTCTGTGACCAGAGGCAGGACTTGCAACTGCTCTAATAGGACACACCTCATAGACAGGGCGGTCATGAAAATTAAATGAGCTAATGCATTTAAAATGTACTTTTGCACTGCCTGGCATATAGTAAATGTTCGATAAATTTATTTTTATTTATTATTTAAAAAAATCTTAGGGGAGCAGGTAATTAGGTTTATTTGTTTATTTTTAGAGGTGGTATTGGAGATTGAACCCAGGACCTCAAGCATGCTAAGTATGTGCTCTACCACTCGAGCTATACCCTCCCCCTTATTTTTATTTATTTATTTTTAATTGAAGTAGAGTTGATTTACAATGTTGTGTTAGTTTCTGGTGTACAGCCTAGTGATCCAGATAGATAGATAGATAGACTACTTTTCCTGTGCTTTTTCATTCTAGGCGATTACAAGGTATTGACTATAGTTCCCTGTGCTCTACAGTAGGAATAAACTTATTTTTGTTTTTGAAAGTAAAGTTATTGTTCTTACTGATGGAAAGTGTAACAGGAGTTCAGAGATGAGGAAGAGTGCGGTAGGGGTAGGCTTAAGGATTATTTTGAATTCACCCAACGCATTCTTCAGATTAGAAAATGAGGCCCCAGAGAAATTAAGTCATCGAAGTGTCACGAAGGAGGTGATATCTGAGTTGGGTTTTGAAGAGTAAGAACAAGAGCTTACAACTATTGAAAGTTTGCTGTGGGCCGCAGACCATGGGGATGCTTGACATGGTTGGCTTTATTTAATCTTCAAAACGTTCCTGTGAAGTAGCACTTCAGTAGCTAGAAGGAGAGATCTGAAGCTGGACAGGGAGAGGAGAGAGACGGAAAGAAAGAATAGGGAGAGGAATAGCTCAGGGAAGAGTGCAGTGCTTAGCATGCATGAGGTCCTGGTACCGCCACTAAAAATGACGATAATAAATAAATGAATACATAAGCCTAATGACACCCCCCCAACTTTTCTTTTAAAAAGAAAGGAAAGAGGAAGCAGGAAAGGCTTGCTAATTTCTAAAGATGGTGGTGAAACTCACCTGTCTGTAGTGCAGGGCTTGGGTTGTTTGCCATAAGCAATAAAGGAGAAATGATGTTGGATAAGGTGAAGGCAAAATTATGAGGCCCTGACAATCATGCCAAAAAAAAAATTGACTCTATGTCATGAACAGAATGAAGAGCAGCTGTAAATAATGACTTGGGGGAGAGAGGATACACATGAAAGTGGGGTTCAGGCACATTGACCTGGGGAAGCCCTGACACCCCCGGGACCCACATCCCTGACCAGCCACTGCTGGCTCCCACCAGCCACTATCGGGGAAGACCCAGCACAGTGTCCTGTGAAGTGGGAGCTTCCTAAAGGCTTGTTGAGGGAACGAGTGAACCGAGGACGACCTGGGCTAGCGGGTGTTTCTATGTGGGAAGTGACGAGAGCTGGGACGATGGTTGAGACAGGGAGGATGGAAATTAGGAGGCAAATCCTAGAAACAACTGCAAAGTAACAATAGGACTTGGGCTCATACTGGGCACGCGGAGCTGTATTTCAGGTACATTACGCACAGGAGACTGCACTGTCAGAACCAGTGCATTTGGCGCATTCTTTGTTGTTGTTTAAGCGGACGTTCTGTATTTGAAACCAATGAATCACATTTCAGGATAGTGATATTGTAAGTGATTATTATTACCATTAAAACTTACGTCTCTGTGCTTTCTAGTCTGACTCCCTCCACCCAAGTTCTTCTCAGTTTTGTCATACCTCAATTGTTGTCCTCTCCTACTGAACTCTGGACAAGTAAACCTCATCTTCAGACACATAGCAGGTGACTCTTCCCCATTTTATGTCCCTCAGGTTGCCCTCTCCCATGAAGACCCAATTCTTCTACCATCTCATCCCCGTTACCAGTTGGAACATCAGTCGTCCTCAGAGCCATATCACATGCCGTCTCCCCATCAAGTCTGATCCACCCACCTGGAGCTGACTGCTTTCTTTCTCAACTCCGAGCAGGCATGTCACCATCCTGCCTTGTCCTGGTCACTTTATTAACTGGGGATTCCTTTATCGGTATTTTATTTGTATCCCCTACAATGATGCTCCTGCGTGTTGCCTAGTTATTCAGTAACTGTGACATGAATCAAAACTATTTGAAATACTGCTGGTCCCATCCCAACCAAAAGTTTCCCTTTGAGGAAAGGTGTGCAGCTTTACACACTGAGAATTTCACGTCACCCTGGTTGGGGATACTTAGGAAAAAGAGGGAACTTTAAGTTGGGAAAAGAAAAAGTGAAAGACGGTGCAGGATTAACCATTTTTGCAAGGGGCCTGAGGGAAGCTCAACTGGAGCCTTCATTGCTACACTTCTGCCCCACAGGAGGGAGGGACGTGAACTGAATGTAAGAGGCTTGGGACTCCAGCCTTCGCATCTTTGGGAAGCAAATAGGACCTGCAGGTCAGAAATCCAGGGCACTGAGATGGATGGGGAACCAGTGCAGAAAGGAAGTATCTCCTGGCAGGTACCTCACCTGCAAAAGGCAAGCTTAATGTGTAAGCATCTCTCTGAACCCGCCATGGAGGGTGAGTCTAGAATTTCTGGAAAACAAGGAACCTGGTTGTATAGTGCCCATTCTTACTAGTATGGGATATGGAAAACATTATCTGTAGGCTGTTATTTTAATGAAGGCTTAAGAAAATATATATATATATATTCATTTTCTTGGTGGTTCCCTCATGACCTAAGACTGAATTTTAGTTTGTAGGCTCTTCAATCAACCAAATTCTACTACTAGGATTTTCAGAAATCTAATGCAGTAGGCTGGGGAGGACTGTTGTACTAAAGTTCATCCCGTATTTTCAGAACTGTTACACTTGGCTAAGCAGATGTCACGGTCCACAGTGTGGTGGTCATTCTTGAGGATCTCGGAATATGAGACACTGTCAGGGGTCTGAGCCTTTGCACACGCTGCTTCTCTGGCCCAAGATACGTTTCTTCCCTTTATCGTTGGCAAGGTTAACCCGTATTTACCCTGTGTGGCTTTTACTCCGATATCATCTCCTCCAAAAAGCCTTCCCTGAGTGCTTTCATTAGAGCCACTCCCCACGGATCAGGTGCCACTCCTGCGTGGTCCCAAATAGCCCTGAGCTTTCAGTTACCACCCACGGGTCCTGCTCCCACTGTGTCAGCTCCTCCAGGAGTGCCCCTGGGTGCTAAGTAATTAACATTCTTAGAGGGCTCTGAGGTCTCAATGAATGTTTGCTCACTGAATGAACAAATGCATCATCGCCCTGATACGGGAGACATAGATGACAGTCCATCTGCCCCACAGAGGGGCGTTGTCACTGTGAAGTTTCAGGATCGTTCTGGAGAACTGCAGTCCGTGTTCTCCTTGTCTCCTCTCCACCCGGTAGAGTGGTAGCCAAACCAGCCTGAAAGATAGCAGTTGGCCTCTATGCCTTCAGCTAATAACAGTTCCTGTCCAACCCAGTATTTAAGAATAGTGATTATTTTTACTATGTATTCCCCACGGAGAAAAGCAGACGTACAAAACGTTTGTATCTTGGCGAATGTTTGAAATTTTGCTGCCAAATCTGTTAAACCCACCCCAACAAGTCTGATTTTTAAAATATTTTACTGGAAAGAGCTCTCTGGATACTCATTTTTGTGTGTAATATAAACCAAATGTCAACAATCACATCCATCAACATCTCTTCTAACGATACAGATTTTCGCTTAAAAAAATTCTTTTGGTTTGGCAGGAGCACTATGGGTCTTCATAAAATTCAGTTTCATAGTCTTCCGTAGAACAAATGATAAATGTCAACCCTTGGCTGCGTTGAAGTAGCATTTCCTTCCAGTGCAGAAAAACCATGAGCTACATATAAAGACCTGGCTCCAACATTGTGAAGTAGGTCTTGCTTTAAATTTTTTTCCCTTAAGGTTGCACTGTCCGATGAGTCCCTTTGCTTCAATTACAATGAAAGAGCGAGTATGGGTAGGTAAACGCCAAGCCCTCCTCTGGAGCCGCGGAGGATGCGCGGGTTTACACTGAGCCTGGTGGGTGCGGAGCGCGTCAGACGCAGCCCGGAGTTCGACTGAA